TTTTTCATCACTCTCATCATTTTCACCATGTTTCATCCTTTTTCATCAAATTTCATACTTTTCATCGTTTTCTGTAAATTTTCATTGTCCTTCATCATCTTTCATCATTTCTGTCATGTTTCATCATTTTCATCATTTTTCATCAGTTTCGTCATGTTTTTTCACCAATTTTTATCATTTTTCATGACTTTTCAAGCATTCTTGCTTATTTTTCATTATTTTTCAAGAGTTTCACGAGTTTTCACCAGCGTTTTGTTTTTGTTTGATCCTTGTTTGTTTTTTTCTTGATCCTCAGATTTTGTTTTTTTTGATCCCGGTTTTGTGTTTTTTTTGATCCTCCAAATTCCCGTAGGTTTCGTTAGTTTTGAGTCACATTTTTTTTTTAACCCCGGACTTGTCTCCGTTCTACCAGTTTTACTATGAAATCCACGATTTTGTTGTTTTGTTGATCCTTATTTGTTTTTCTTGATCCTCAGATTTTGTTTTTTTGTTGATCCTCTTTTTTTTTTGATCCTCCACCCTTATAAAAGGGGACGCTAGGAGTTAAGACTGTGGCTCATATAGGGTTTAGCTAGGATACGGGAGAATCAAACGGAAAGTAATATGACATATGAAATGGACACTGAATTTATGTAAACATCCAAAGAGGGGCAGTATAGCCCTACACTTCCGAATGGTCACTCTGTTGCAGCCAGCCATGAATGAGCTGCGGTTTCCTGATTGCAGTTCAGTTTAGATGAAGCCAGCGCTCGCACAAAATGCATTATGCCAGATCAAGGAGATGAAGACATTTCAGACTTAGACTCTAGACGCGTTTGGGCAGCTGTTAGACCAAGCTTGACCGCATGAGCAATAGTCTAAACTCCTAGCATCCCCTTAATAAGCCCTATAATACTTCCCTATATACTCCCCTATATAGACCTTTTTAGGGAGTTTAGACTATAGCTCACCAGCTCATTTCGATTTCCGCCAGAATCCCCACCTGCATCTGGCGGCCGCGCGGATGCGGCCTATGCAATCAGCCCAGCAGGGTTCTTCTTCCTTGATGACAGGTCCTAAAGAACATTTGAGCCTAAACTCCTTAAAGGGGGTTATATAGGGAATCATATAGGGGACTTCTCTAGGGGTTATGAAGGGGGATCCTAGGAGTTCAGACAGTAGCTCATTTGGAAGATCACGGGAACTCCTAGCTTGAGTCATTGACGTAATCGTCCTCAATCATTCGCCTGTAAATCTACATCCTAGAATCTATAGTACCGCATTGTTCTTGCAATGGCTTTGGTTAGTTGTGAAAAATCTGCATGTATGGTTGCGGTAGAGTTTCTTAGTCCGAACGTCACGGATCCTACGGTATCCTACTGGGTCCTACTCGTTTGGAGATATGTTAAACAGATGTCGCAGAGCTTCCACTGGCCGATGTTGAAACATGAGGTGGCCACCATACAGCTCGTGAAAGAGCTGAACAATGGCAACGTTCCAGCTGCCACTGCGGCTTCGGGCCCCCCTGCGCCATACAAAGGTCTTCCGCAAAAGGAGGCAGTTGAGCTTGCAGCGCTTCTTCTAATTTTCACCATAAGGGTTTAGGGTTTAGGGACACTGGACTTCTGTCATATGTAGCCAAGTTCAGAGGGATGTCCCTCAGGGCAGTCCGCGCCTATTCTGAGTCACTGCATGAGTCGCCGAGAACATACTTACACAAGCCCTTGCCTGGAAGCGTGTGCGCAGGTGAACAAGCTCAACAGAGACAGGGCCAAGCGCCGGCATCCCAGGCTGACGGCTGGATTCCACATTGGGCGCTTCTTTGCCTCGATCAGGCGAGTGTAAGGCTATGCGCGGTATAGGAAGCTGTGCAGAAGCAATTCCATGAAGGGCTGGGACACCTAAATCTAGCAAGCCACTCTTGCTATTTCGGCACAGCTACGCCTTCCTGGTTCCTTGTAAGGACTTGGAGGGGGATCCCCCGGCTAGAGGGTTTGGTGGTATTTTTTGAGATGCTCCCTCCTGAGGTCGGTGTAAAAAGTGTTGGTAGTTTACTTCCACTTTGCAAGCATGGCATCAGTACAACTTTCATGATGGAATCCTCGAGGGCAACAGGCTTGAAGCTTCGGAGCACTTCATAAGTAGGATGAACTTGTAACCATGTCACTACAGTCAAAGTTGAGAAGTATGCGCGGATCACTTAAGTGATAGAGAATCGTGTTTCATATCCTGTGTGCTCTAAGTCGGCCGCCTTGATGGTGACGTAGCAGTAAAAGAAGTAGGGGGAGCAATAGAGAAGAAGGACAAAATAGCAGCTAGTGGGCACTGCTATCCTGTGCTCTCAGGTCGCGAAGCTCCCATGACACGCTCGGAGCACCCATCTCCACCGAGGACCATTTATTGGCAATATCATAATATGTGAACAGTATAGCCGATGGACAGCTATCGCTTCAGTTTGGTGTATTTCTACTACGTTGTGAGAACACCTTGACCGCCGACAACTCCCCAAGTACCCCTGAAGCTGCTTCAAAAAACGAACTTGGTGGGGATAGGGTGCCTCGTATGTTGATTTTTGATTTGAGACCTTTTGTGACATGCGCAGGCAAAATAGCAAGCGTTTGGAGCAAGATCGGGCCGCAACAAAGCGCAGAGGCCGTCACCGGAGGGCACGAGTCGGTCACACTTGGGACATACTTGTATGAGGCTTTTGAAGGGAGTGAGTAAGGTTCCCAACATGGGGTACCATATTTCCACTAATTACTGTAGTGCAGATTTGTGTTTTGTGGATGCACGCAATGCACGCACCACCACAATGCAGACCCATCCACCATTCTGGGTTACCCAGGGTGCTCGAGGTGATCCTCAAAGCTGGCAAGCGCAGCATTAGCAGATGCACGTGCGTCGAAATGCAGACGTTCCATCTAGGCTTGTGAAAGGACAGCCCTATCAGCAACATTCAAGCCTGCGTATTTCTTGACAGTATGGCAATCGACCCATAGCCAATAAGCAGACAGCTTCACAAGGAGAAGAGTCACCACGCAGATGCCAGGGTTGAGGGTGCCGTGTTGTGCGACGTCAGCACTAAGTGGATGCTACATCTGCATAGCAAAGACACCTGTGCACTGGTCCAGGCCGTGGAGCTTTATCCGCAGCTGCTGAGTCAAGCACGAAGGTGCGCCCCCAAACAGCACATGTGGGGTTGAGGGTTGGATTCAAATCAGGTGGGCGGGTCCAACTGAATCCAAGACCCCGAGCTTGGGCAAGCACGGAGTAAGCAGTAATTCTACTTGCGCACCGCCGCAGGCATCACTGTGAAACGGTTTGCATCGTGACGTGACGAGGCTATCGTGTCACACCAGTGCCAGCTCAAGTAGCTGGTAGATCTGGAAAGATGACAGGGAGTGTCAAAGAGACGCCCTTGGAGCGGAGCACTGTTTGCTCTGCGCTTTCCCATGATGGTTTTATCAGGTGAGCTGTTCCCTGTACCTTGAGGGTTGGCATGAATCTACGAGAAACTCGACATGCTTATTGCTCTGCAGGAAGCATCGGCACTCAGCCTACATTGGTTTTGGGGTAGCTGACTCGAGAGGAAGGACAAGCTTGAACGTTTCACCCGGAGCGACTTCCGGTCCAACCTTTGCCTCCCACAATACAGGAGCAGTTTCTCAGCTGCAGCCGCTGCAATACAACTTCAAAAGCATTGAGCAAGGGAGGCAAGGGCAGTGTAGGATGATTGCATAATGGACGGCACAGTCCACGGTCAGTGGAGATCTACTATTCAGCCGTGTGTCCAACTGGAAAGTGAACTCACAAGGCATCCAAGATTGCTCAGCGTGCTCAGCCCTTGCAACATGTGCTTCTGATTTTGCATTTGTGTACCAAATGCGCTGTGCCGCGCTCGTGCTCAAGCAGGGTCAGAAGCATTGCTAGCATGCTAAATGTTGCATCCCTCGACCGCCATGTTTTCTTATGATCCAGCAATGGACAAGACTTGCAGAAGGTATGTCTCACAGGCATCCTCCCAGCCAGCAGCAAGCTGCAGACACAAAGCTACCACTCAGCTTCTGGAACTCAACCGACCATATGTCCGTTTCACCAAGGCCACCAGTGCTCCTCCTGAGCACATTCATGCGCAGCATTTCGCATTGCAGATGACATGTTAAATAGTCCAGATGACAGCCAAGAAGCATGCACCCCCACCAACACCCTCAAGCTTTCAAGATTCAGTCTTCTCGCATTTGAGCAACTAGTTGTTTTCTTGAAGTAGCAGGTCTGATTGGTTGCAACGCGATGTGAAAGCACTTGACTGATTCGAGCTTGCTTCTAGGCCATGCAGATTGCATGAACACCGTGCAGCCTGCGTTGCTTGGCAGCAACTTTTTTGACTCCATGACACAGAAGGCAGCGCTTTGTTGGTCCTATTTGCACTGTTCCCGTACGCATGATGCTTAGGTCCTATCATGCTGACGGCGCCACCTCCAGCTCCTCCCTCCTTCCCACTTCCACCCGCTGCCCCGGCACCAGGCCCCCTACCTCCTCCGACTACATTGGCTCCGGCAGCACCCCAGGCCCCTTCTACGCCTGCCGCACCGCCACCAGCACAGCCTCCAGCTGCCCCTGCAGCCCCTGCTCCCCCTGCCGCGCCCCAGGAGACTTGTTGCTGTTGTCACGATTTTTTGACTGGCACATTGGTTGGACGGATGCATGGCGGTAGCAATACAAAGGCCACAGCGTTTTGGACATTGTTAGACGAAGATGACCTGCGAGACGTGATAAATCATGAGAGGCCTTAAGACTGTGCTTGCTCGTGCAGGAAAGGTTCGGCTCAGGGAACAGCGGGACTCTGGAATCCAATGAACCTAGAACCAGATCAGCCCAGAAATTTATCCGAGTTCCGCTGTTTGATCAGAGGATAGGCCCTGGCCACTTGCTGTCATGGCGCGTAGATTTTCGTTGCCGGCAACATTCAGTCCCACGGTGGACGATCCTGCAGTCAGAGCTACCACTCTTTACATGCCCCTTGGCCGCGGAAGGTTCGTAGGCCTGGGGTGAAGTGTGGATGTTGCTTGCCACAGCTTCCGGCATCCACCCAGCACTCTCAGCGCTCACTAAGGATATGCAGTGTTGGCATGGTTGTGGCGAACAAGGACACGTGCAGCAGTTGGGAAAAAGTGCTTTTCGCAAGGATTTGCTCGCAAAGTGTTTTGCTCTCCTTCTTGAAGACTCCCTTCGAACTAGCTATGGTAGCCCTAGCCAGTTGCCAGTCGCGTATGCAAATAGCCGGGCACAAGACAACGGCTATGCAGGCCTGGCTTCAGACTTCCAACCGGTGCACCCTAAACCTTGAGCATCCTTAAACATTAAATCTTTGCTCATGGCAGGAAGCAGCCACTCGACTTCAGGCTGGAACCATCCTCCTAGCAATGCAACAGGTGGCAACGATTTTAGTGGCCTGCGCCGCTGGGCATGATATTCAGGTTTCAAGAGATTACTCCCAGAAAAGCAGTTAAGCAGAAAACCGCGTTGAAGACGTGCAGAAGCAAGCCTCGCAACATCTCTGGTTTTGTTGAGTTCGCACTGGAGTCTCGCCTCTCCGGCCTTCGAGCACAAGATGTGGGAAAGGTTCGGAATTGTCTAATTACAGGGCACTTGCTGGAGATCTATAGGTGTGCGGATGATGAGAAGGCATCCAGTCTGGTATCATATAATTCATGCCGCTCGAACTGCAAGAATGTCTACAGGATATGGCGAATCTAAGGTCCTTCACATACTCGGCAGCAAAGAGATCCGTGGGAACATGCAACTTGGGCCAGCACTTTCAGCCCCTCAAGAAAGTTGAGACCAAGAGTTGCTTGCCATTCTCCACATTGCAACCAGGCCAGGACTGGAGTGTATTGAAGAGAGTAACATAGGCACTAGCTACGCAGTTCGTACATGGTGTCCCCTGCGCATCCCCCTGCAAAAGCTCTTACAAGAAGAACTGCTGCTCCAGGGGGATTTCAAAGTGAGCATATGCAGAGGTTCCAGTCTTTCTCTCATGGCAGTGCAGGGAAATGACCGCCAGCGGAATCTGAATGAAAGAGCAACCTCAATCCCCTTAAGTGCCTTTCTCCGTGCGTGGATGCCCTGCGAAACAAAAAGTGCGACTAGAAATTCAAATGCTGATGCTCTGCCATGATACGACCAATGCGGCTTTTGCTGTCAGATTGCCATCCATTGTAAACCTCCCCTAACTCCAACCCTGGCAATTCTCGCTTTGTTCAGGTGAGGTCTTCCTTAAGCCCGTCTTAGCATCAATCTCCTTGGGCGCAGGGGTTCTCACCAAGCCCGCTGCCAGTCCCTCTGCCGGGCTCATGATCTAAGGTCGTAATCCAGCCACACTTCCTGCCCCAGGTGCTTTCGATCAGGTTAGGGAACTGCTCACGTAAACTCATCCTCCTCAAAGGCGGCTTTCTCTGCGCACATGGTGAGTCTTACTTCTGTCTCAAGGACTTTTGTGCTCATGAAAATTTGGTAGTTTCCATAAATAGGGGTACCCCAAAGTAGACTCCAATATATTATAGTCCTTATTATAGGGACCCCTGAAAAAGGTATCCAAAACTCTAGAAATCCTTCTATGATCCTTCTATGACCACAGTCTCCATTTTATTTTCCATATTCTTGCTCATTTGATTCTCCATTATTGGGGTCGTATCCCTATATATATATATATATCCCTCTCTCTCTCTCTCTCTCCCTCTCTCTCCCTATACTTTTGTGCTCATGAACACCCTAAACCCAAAATAGTAGCTTACATTTTCTTTTAATCCATGATATCCCCAATTCCCCAAAGGTTGGGAAACCCTAACGCCTAAACCCTATACCCTAAACCTTATATATCATTATATATCCTTCATCCATCACTGAGGCACGAGGTGATACGTTGGTCACCCATCGCAGTGCTCTCGGGCTTGATCCTGTGGACAGGCATGCAGGCACTGCGCCCTGGCCGACATACTTAGGCGATTGCCCAAAGGGGTAGCTTTAGAGGCGATATAGGGGTTGAATCCCAAAATTAGGTTAGCACCATAGCAAGGACTTTAATATTTTGGGGCCTATATTGGGGTCCCCCCTATTTAGGGAAGTCAAGATGACTATGCTTCAAGTCGGCTAGAAAGTTTCCGATTGTAGATTCCCTCTGCCAAGTTTGAATTTGCACCCTTCATGGTTTTTTGGCTTGTTCGGCTTGATGTTGGAAGTCTTTTTTTTGCACACTGTGTTTGATAAAGAGCCTGCAGACAAGCGCTACTCAGGAAGTTCAATGCACAATGCGGGGCAGTACAAGGGCATGAATTTCTGTTCAATGCTGATAAAAATTTACGGCTAGTCACACTCTGTACTTCTTCAGACAGCTCGCAACGGAGTCTGGCTCCGCAGTATTTTGAGAGGTTGCAATCAACTAGAATGACAGGCGTAGTCCGCAATAAGGGGGCATGAGGCTCCCTGGGTACATGGGAGTTGATCTCTGAGCTGTGATGTGCCTTGCGTTAGATAGGCTGTTTGCATGCTACCTCCAGACCAGACATGCATGAAATTGCCATGGTGATGTTTGGAGCACGAAGACGTGACAGAGGTCTTTCAGGATTAGGGCTACAGGACGCACAACTTCTCCAAGTTTGCTGCAAACAGCAACAGCTTTGTGTTCGTGCTCAGGATGTATGCATCTCTCTCCACCTTGACAGTCATACGGAACGCCAGCCCTCTCATTCTTTTGGGAGCGGAGCGGCTGATGTTCGGCGTCCCGATCACGAAGGATGCCATCATATCGCTGACGACGATCCTGATAGGCCGGGCTTTCTTGGGCCATGCAGCCTTCTGCTGCATGTGGTTTCTAAATGTTTCCTAACCTAAGGCGTGCACCAGCCAGGGCCGAGGCGATTAATAGACCAGAAGAATACACGCTGACAGAGGACACAAAGCAATCCGTTTGCTTTCAAGTCTTAGAGCTGTCACTGTCGAGGCGTGGCTGTCTACTGCTCAGATGACATCTCCACCAAGGACCGGAGAAAGGGCCAGGCATGGGTTTCAAGTAGGCCCATGCACGGATTCCCATCTTGCCTATGTGTCATTGTTCAACACCATGCCGCTTCACAACATGATCACATCATTTGCACGACCTGCTGCCCATGGTAGCTCGTATTTCAAAGGAAATATATTCTGGGAAGTTAAGGCTCCTAGGTTATTTACAGGCCAGGAGAGTAGGGAGTTAGCTAATCCTGTTCAATTGGGGAGGTTGGCCGCGTCAAAATAGGGATGCAGATACTGTAATATACCGCAGTAGCAGCCATTGGCGGTGGTTCGATTCGAGCCCTTACCCGTGAGAAAGAAAAACTATACATATATATATATATAACCTCTATATAATCCCTATGTAACCCTGATATAATCCCTATAGTTTCCATGTTTTTTTTCCATTCTGACGAGGAAGCCCTGGGGATCTTTCTGGTGGTCTTGGACGCAGCCTTTGTGTGCTTGGATCGCCTAGCGCAGCGCTACCTCCTGCAGGCGGATTTCTGGTGATGAGCACTGCTAATGCTAGCAAAGGGGCACCAAAGTGTGAGGCTGCTTAAACTCTCTTTGGCAGTAGTGCTAGGAGCAGTAGCAAGAAAAGGCTACCTGTTGAAAGGTAGGTCTTAGCCATCAAAAACACGCAGTGGAGGCGAGTTTCACTGTATGGCTCTGTTCCATTGCCGATGCTAGCACAGCTTTGCAGCGTTTGGCTGCAAATAGGTCTTACCAGTGCTGCACATGCTGCCTGGGACCAAAGAGCATGATTTGGGGATGGGCTAAAATCATAATGCCTTCTTAGCCAGCGATTGGATTGTCACACATGTGCACCATTGCAAGCTGCAAACCCCGCCGCGCCTCAGAATCTATATGGAGACCGCTACTGTCTTTTCCTGATATGAAGAATTTCTAGAATCCTTGCGGATGTTGGTGTTTTGTGAAGCTCCCACATGGTGGCCAGGAAATGCCAGTGTCCCTGTCGTCCTCAGCGCCTCTGTCGCAGTTGTGGCAAGTAAAAATTTCAGACTATTCAAACAGCCAGCATGACAGCTCGTCTGCAGTCCTGCCAATAAGATCCCGTTTGACTGACAGACCCCTCACAAAGCAGGCAAGCCTATCCCAACAAAACCACGCGTCCCATGCATCGGTACACGTGCAGATATTCGCCAATGATCACTACCACTGAGAATGCCTTTTCATCAGTTATAGAGGCTCTAGTGCTTGTGTCCAACGCCGTTGGCTTGGGCTTCTCGACCGTGCTGCTCTTCTACCCCATGCACACGGAGCTTCACGAGGCCCAGGAGTTAGGATCTGACTTTCGTGCGCAAGTTTTCTGCGCAAGTCCACAGGGTTCGCACGAAAGTCATACCGTGGTTTTGTCGCCGAAGGTGGAGTGGACGCCAGCGGGAATCGCTTGGTCCATAGCCTCTTGCATTGGAGGCGGCTGGAAAAACATTGGCTTACGAGAGTGAGATTCTGAGACTTGCAAGGACATTGGGCCTTAGGCCATCCCACCTCTGCAGCAAGCCTGTCAACCCCCGAACTTACTGGGAAATCGTAGAGAATAAGGCACTCTATCATATTATGTAGTGAGTATATTCCTTATTCCTTACTAGAACCAGTAACCTGAAGGCGCTGCCATCGCCTATGCGGGCATCGGCCTGTCGCGCAATCTTAGTGCGACTGGCGCCCTGGTAGTCACGAACATTGATGCTCAGACTTAATACAAGCGTGCAAGAAATCAGCGCTGTGCTCTGTGAATTAGCCAGCAGCCGTTGCAAGCCTGCATGCGCAAAAGCCAGCAGAATTGGATGCAGCATTTCTTGACCGCCCGTCATGCTAACTCTTTGCCTGCAAGCCGACCCCCAGGACAAAGTGCTAGTGCTTTGCTACGGAGTGATGATGTGCCTGGGCTGCTTTTGGCTGCGCTGCGTACATTCTCACTCTGGGCATTTTGGCAAGCTTCTGTGCAGTGAAAGGCACTGATTGGTGCAGAATTGTGTTCCGGAGGTTGGGAGACCACTTTGACTCGAGGAAGTTATGTGGATGTACATTTGCCCTGGTCGGAGGCCAGGGGCTGAGGGTGAGCAACTTCTCATGGCTAGATTTTAGATGTCAAGCCACAAGTAGGGATTTACTGCATGCAGGCACCTGGCATGCCTGGGGGCGCTTGCGGGCAGGGGAGGAGAAGAAGCAGGAGCTCAAGACAGCCCCTCGTCAAAGATTCTTCAGGTCTTAGTCGCGGAGTTCAGGTCATCATTATCAGATATTATCACCATGAATCGCCTAGGATCCTTTGAGCCAAGAGCTTGCTCCGTCCGCCGAAGACTCTCGGCAGCAGGCGGCATGATGAGTTGCACGCTCTAGCCAATATCTACGTCATCAAACCCAGAAAACTCGTGCTACCTTCTGCGCAGGAAGATCGTAAGTGATATGGTGCTAAGTGTCGAAGACATGCACCTTTGAATAGATTAGCACAGCACGAAACAGCACAGAACAGCGTGGTCCTGCTTGCTCCCAATCTTGGACTTGGACAAACCGTGTGCGGGCAAGTTGAGGGTCGTAGCTTTAACCCCAGCTTGGGCCATGAAGCCAGCCAAGCACATCAGGAAATGAACAGCTTCTGCTGATCTGAGAAGCGCTGTCTTCTTCTCCGACGTTCAGTCTTCTCTGCTGCAACGTGTAGTGGCGTTGCACTTATGCCTTCCATTTTTTCAGGGCCTGCCGCTGTGAACTCTGTTCTACATGCCACACTGTATTCTTCAGGTCCTAGGTACGGAGGTACTATCTGTGAATTGTTGGGAGGGGGGCCACTGCTGTGACGCGGCTAAAATACGATTGGGCCCTGAGAGCGTTGGTTACAGCGATTCACTGGCTGGTAGCCCACCAAAATCCCTCGGGCGGTGCAGAGCCCGAGGGAACTCATAATGAAATCCAGCTTGGCTTTAGTTGTTATTATCCTGCGGTTACACACTCAGTGATTCTGGTTCTAACAGTAGCTTGGCTCTTGTGACTCTTGCTGAGATATGTTGTGTACCGCAACGAGACTTTCTTGCTGGCATGTCCACTGCTTGTAAAATGTTGCTCGGCAGTGGGCTGGTTGGCCTGGCTTCCGCCAAGTCATGCAGTCATGAAAAGAAATGGAAACTATGATGGTGTGATATGTTAGACGAGAATACTGTACAAATATAATATAACAGTACCACCGTAAAAGTATAGTCCGTGCAGCAATTTAGGATTCACCCCAAGACCATAAGAAGATATTGACACCTGCCAGGGCACTTGCTGAAGGACTGATACCGAGCATTCACACAACAGTACTAGCCCCTTTGACATTGCAAGATTGAATTCCATTACGCCTCGAACAACTATCTTGCTGCCAGCCGATCTGCTTGACTTGGATGTTTGTTTTTGCGGCGGTCAAGTTGAAGCTAACAAGGCTTCCCAGCAAAGACTTCATGAGAAGGAAGCATTGGCAGACCTGGTGTCATGATGCCTTTTGGGCACGCTTTGCGACATCCACAAACTTATCATCCCAAGCTCTTGCACTAAGAAGCATGCAACAATTAGCAAAAGTGGCTTCGTTCTGCAGTTATGTCCCATATGGCTCATCTTGCATTGACCCTTACGCCAGGAGACACGCAAATTAAGACAAAGCTGGCCAAGGTAACGTGGAATTCATGGTATAGCAGCTTGGACATCCATTGCTGCGACCTGGAGATTTCAAATCCTGCCCAGTCCTGGAACAGGCCCAGTCACTGGAGCAGCTTCAGCAAAATGGCTGAATCCCTGAATGGCTTGAATTGGGGGTGGATATCTTAGTCTTAGCCAGTGGCTACTGTAAGAATGCCATGCGGTCAAGGCCCGTAGCCGTTGGAAAGGGCGTTGCTCGTCATTTTTGGGACCAGCTCTTCTCAGCTGTATCTCCCTGGTATTCACGGGGAATGCGGAAGCGAATAGCTGCCACGAGTCTGAAGAACCATGAAGTATTGCAGGTAGGGGTTCCCAAAACAGACCATGTCATGTCAGACTAGTTCCAGACAATTGTGGTAGCTTTTCGAGTTGCACGCGCGAGGTCTGCCCAGGAGCAGTGTAAAAAGCCGGGAGTAGGCTTCGCCTCCCACCCTTTGTGTGGGTAGCCCAGCTTGCTCTTTCAGGCAGCTTGCCAAAGAAGGAAGCATCCAGTACAGGCCATAGAGTCTGCGATTTTGGGTATCAAGTTTATGGATTAGGGCTTTGGATGCTGCAATGAGCTTCCTGCTGCTCGTGCAAGGTGCCTTGGTTATGTTGAACCTCGAAAAGCGGTCAGAGATATGAGCTTCGCGAAGATGCCCCTTCATATCTGTCTCTGCATGGCCGCAGACTGGTGACAGATGCGACGAAGTCAGAGGGAAATCATCATCCAAGACCGTTTTGGGAGCCATCCCTAAACCCTAAACAGTTGACCTTCCCTCTCCCCCCGTCATTGTCAGTCAGAGACTACATTCTGTAATAAAGGCCAGGCCACCCCAGTTGCCAGTGGCCGTTAGTTGATGCATTCCGACAGACTTCTACTTAGATTCAGATCCAGCCCAGAGGAGTCAAAATGCGCTCACAGCATGCTGAGATGTCCCATGGTGGACTGATCCAATCCAAAAAATAGTGGCTATCGTTCCTTCGTGCCTGGAGTCCAACACTTCCGGCTAGACACGAAGCAGTACGATCTCAGTTTCGCAAGCAGCAGAGCAGTCTGCAAAACGATTCGAAGGATCCTTACCGTGCTGCGCTTCAGCGAAAATTGGCGGATGCTGCAGCCTGAGCTGCTCCATGTTAGCCAATCTGGTTGCTTGGAGGTTCCAGGGTAGTTCTCAGGGCCGCGATATGCACGGCAACTTAATTCTAATTATCCTACTGGTATGCCACTGAATTAGCTGAATGCTCCATCTCAGCAAGTAAGCTGCAAAACTAGCCTCATACTTGCACTGATGGACGACAAGCAGAAAGAAGCACAAGGATGACGTCCGGCAATCCGGAATTGCCCAGGCCCCTGTGTCCTCCGCAAAAGTGGCGCAGCCTCACAAGTAGTCTTCCAGAACATCCCAGAACTTGGACCTTCTTAACAGCTGCTACTTGCTGGTGCTCAAGGGGAAGTGGGGAGTGAATCCCTGCACCATGTGGTCCACATAACAAAGTTAACTATGAATCCTTCATTCCTCCTAAAGCACCCGTCGGCCTGTCGATGGCCCAGGAGATCGTCCAACGCATCGCCAGCGCTCTGCGCCGAGGCCCTCCTTGGCAGGGGTTTAGGGTTGAGGGTGAGATACACAAAGCTTAAGGCTCCTTTCGATAGCAGGGACTTTATATGAAGAGGGTATCGCAAAAGTCTTGACATTGGGAGATCCTGGGCCAACAGTTGCTATCTTCCCCGCTGTGTCTTCCTTTGGACCCTCGGCCTTCAAACCCACTGGAGTCTGGTTGAGTTGTGATTCTTCCAGGATGTAGCATGAATGGATGTCGGAGCTGCTGGTTCAGCAGAAGTAGCTTAGGCTCCAATGTCCTTCGGGCCATTCCTTGCAGTTCGTATTAAGTCTCTAGCGTAGGATCCCACAGCAAAATCTTTCGGAATGCAGCCTGCGGGTGCTGCATTGAACTGGAAAGATGTACCGAACGAGTTGGGGGTGCAACCTAGGTAGGTTGACATTCATTGGAATCACCTGGTATGTTGAACGGCAAATAGGCGAGGCAGAATTCAAAGCTGCACCGGTGATGATGCCTACTATGCCTACTATTGTCAGAACGGGGGTGGCAAAGACTACGACGATGAACACCGTTATGATTCTGCCGTACATTGACGGATCATGAGAATGCAGGATGCTCATAGGCAGACTTCAATGACTGGGGTCTGCGGCCAGTAGGGAGTTATCACTGTCAGGAGATGCGCACGCGCAGTTTCGAAGGCTGAAAACCCATGGGTGCGCGTATGATTCCAAGATGTTCCAAGAGGGTTTGTCATAGCTACTTGTGTTCAAACGTTGCCAGGATCCCTGGAATTCCTACGCCTTCGGCTTCTACAGTGTAGAAGGTTTGAAAGGTCGACTCTATCGTTCTTGTCCAATTCGATGTGTCAGCCAAGCTCGAAAGAGGTGGATATCGCCCTCAGGATCTCTTCAGCCTGAGCCTCAGTGTTTACAGTTCGAGCTGCGGTTGGCAGTGAGAATTGTCCCGGCAGTAGCATGACATGATTCATTGGCAGCACTGGTATCTAGTCGTAGTGGTAGGACGTAGGAATCAGTGACGGCAGCTGCAGTAGCAGTTAGAACGGCAAATCAGTAGTGGAAGAAGTGCGCCAAGTTCCTATGATAAGAGTAGCCATTCATTGTCATAAAAGCTGTAGACACAGCAAGTGATAGTCGGCCATGTTCCTCTCCATTATGCAGGATAAGTTTGCACGCTATGTGGTTGAGAAGCTTTACCACAAACTTCTCTCCAAACAGGAGTCCAGAATCCCCCAACCTTGTGAACTAGCTGAGCAGCGCCTTTTTATGAAAGACAAGCCCTCAAGCATATGAAGCTTCATATCACCTGAGGAAACCCCAAGATTAACAGCTGGCAAAGCCCTCACAGCACACATCCACAAACCCATGGATGGCCCCTTCCAAGGCAAACTAGATGCAGACGGCAGTGGCAACCTATCCCGGCAGGAGCCATGAGCTCAGTTAAGACAGTACAAAATGGAGACTTGTTGGCCGCACGTTTCTGAGGCGAACAGCCCACCGTTCCCTCAAGACAACACAAGATAGGAAGCCGATTCGGTCAAGCAAGGAATTGCGTTTGCGTGTTTGCTGCTTCAACTCCTAAAGCAAAACTATTCACAAATAACATGCACGAAATCCAAACAAGCAATTGTCTCATGGCCAGGCTGAAGCACACCAAGAAGTGGGAAACCGCTTAAGCTTTCTGTATACCCAGCGTTCTCGCTTTAAAAGGGTAAGTAAGAGCCCTGGTCTTCACAGGTGTGCCGGTCTCCACGGGGAGAATTTGTCCGAAATGAGCCTTTGCTTTGAAGATACAAACTATGTAAGATTGTAAAGCATTAGCTAGCCACAGCTTGGTATACCCACACTTGCCCCTGGGCTTCGTTTTGCGCTTGCCGGGCGAACCTGAGGCTGCTAAGCATCATCCTGCGGTTCGAGCCAGGCAGGGGCCATTTGCACCGGGTTTGGTAGGCTATGTTTGTTTGGGGGTCTTGGTTTGACATTCATGCACGACCCCTGATACATGATGCAGGTTTGCAACAAACGGTCCAGCAGGCCGTGCAAACACGCCAGACTGAGCATCATCTTTTAGCTATCCACTTCTGTCTCCCTTCTA